TAAAAGACAAAAGAATCAATGACTATAACCATCAAATATAGCAACAACCTGTGCAGCAGGGAGTCGTGTGATTTCACGTTGCTTCGTGTCAACATGTGCTTGATGATGCCATTTCCAGCGCTGTGACAGTGCTACAGGCGCAGTTTTTAGTGGTTGAGGGGCAATGACGACAGCGGAGCGACTCCACCAAGACGCCTGAGCTCGTCATAAAATCCTCCAAGCATCATCCCCTCCTCCTCATCCTGTCAACATCCTGCTCAGAGCAATATTTTTCGTGTTTCTTCGGTTCAATTCAGTGTCAAATCCTCTTGAAATCATGGCCAAGATCTTCCTGTAGGCGCCCGATCATCTATCAATCCTAGAAACACATTGCTAACCGCACCGTCTCCTCCAGCACCGGTGCCACTGGCTACATTGGCGGCCAAGCCCTCGCGACACTGTTCAAATCCCACCCAGAATATGCCATTCGAGCATTGGTCCGCGACTCTACCAAGGCCCAGGCGCTTTCTTCAGCTTACAGCAATGTCCAAGCCGTCGTTGCTGACCTTGACAACACCGACGTGGTAGCGAAGGAGGCCGCCGATGCTGATGTCGTCCTCCGTAAGCGCCCAATCCAAATTGTGCCTCTCTCTCTCCTCCTCAATTACCTGCTAAAGCTCGGATCCTCCAGACCTGGCTTCCAGCAGCCACATCAAGAGCGTTCAGGCCATCCACGAGGCCCTCAAGGCCAGAACAGCAAGCGGAAAGTCTGCTCACTGGGTGCAGGTGTCTGGCGCCAGCGCTTTGGCAGCTACCGAGATCGCAGACACGAGCCGTATCCCAGGCTCACCCAGCGAGGCGGTTTTCGACGATCTCGATGGTGCGGCCGATATCCGCTCCCTCATTCAGAAGCACCCCAGTCGCGCCGTAGACAACTACCTGTTTAATGCGGCTACCGAGACCCCGCAGATCAAGACCGCGATTGTCTTCCCGCCCATCATCTACGGCCCTGGCGAGGGGCTGTTGAAGCAGCGCAGCATCCAGATCCCCGAGCTCGCCAAATCTACACTGAAGCGGGGTCGCGGCCTGCAGGTTGGCAAGGGCCTGAGTAGGTGGACTGACGTGCACATTCACGATCTGGGAGACCTGTTCAAGCTCCTTGTGGAAAAGGCTCTCCAGGGCGACAGCGGCGAGCTATGGAATCTGAACGGTCTCTACTTCCCCGGCGTGGGTGAACTGGTACGTGCTCTTAAACTCCTTCCCATCTTCAATTATCCTACATTGGCAGAATAACCTGTACTAACTGTCCAAAATAGTCCTTTGGTGAGATTTCCAAGCTGGTAGCTGTCACCGCCAAGGAGAAGGGGCTCATTGCGACCGACGAGGTCGACGAGGTGCTTGGAAACGACGCCGACACACTGCTACCCAAGGGCACCGTCTTCTTTGGTACCAACGCCCGAAGCAAGGCGACGAGGGAAAAGAAGCTTCTTGGGTGGGCGCCGAAGCACGCAGACGGACTCAGGGCAGAGATCCCGAGGGCGATTGAGTCTGAGGCCAAGAGCCTGGGCCTCTCCAACCTGTGAAACACCCCAAAATAGCGTTGATTAGAATACTGAGACACGAATTGACGTCAGGCTGTGGCCTTATTGAATAAGCTGCCATCAATGATTGACCAAATCCGTCAAGAATTGACCAAAGAGGTTCCTAGTCGCTCTGAACTGCTCAAAGTCGTAGTCATAATCTCTCGAGCTTCACAACAGGCAGGCCAAGCCGAGCAAAACGGGTCCAGGGTCCATGAATCAGGCCCGCTGCTAATGGACCTGATACGATTAGAAATGACAGAAGCTCGTTATCAATTGCCAGTGTTTAAAAACTCACGGCTCCAATCCAGGGGGTATTATTTCCTAACTGGCACATTTCAGTGGAGAAATTGCCATGTGACAATGAGGGGCAAGACGAGGGGCAAGACGAACTTCAGCTAGCAGAAGTCGATCCAGATTGAGCATCCCAAAGTCATAATCCCCCCGCATAGCAAGCTGTAGAACCGGCTGGCACACGCGAGTACATCTAGCAGTAGCCGGTATCGCTCGGTCGGGATCGAAGGGTTCAAAAAGTTTGGCAGTCCTCTTGTCTCACCCATCTGAGACAGACACTGCATAAGCCCTCTCGTACTGCGCCTTTTCCTTCCTCTCATCTTTCTTCTTGTTTTCTTCTTTCCAGCATCAAAATACCATCGCTAGCGGATTTCAAAATGGCAGACGATCTCTTTGTCCAGCTCACAGCCCCAAATGGCCAGTCCTGGTCTCAGCCCAGGGGTCTGTTCATCAACAACGAATTTGTGCCCTCTACCGGAGGTACTCTCTCTACCGTCGATCCTGCGTAAGCTTGACCTCATTCCACATACTTTCTGGATCTCATCCTCACTGTATTCCCAGCACCGAGAAGGAAATCACCACGGTCCACGCCGCCAGTGCAGAGGATGTTGACAAGGCCGTCAAGGCCGCACACGATGCATTCCACAACCCGGCCTGGAAAGGCCTGGCCGCCACCGACCGTGGCATTCTCATGGCCAAGCTCGCAGATCTGATCGAGTCCAAGAAAGAGCTCTTCGCCACCATCGACGCATGGGATAACGGAAAGTCATACAACGAGGCCCTCAACACCGACCTCGTCGAGGCCGTCGGCGTCATCCGCTACTATAGCGGCTGGAGTGACAAGGTCTTTGGCCAGACCATCTCCGTCCCCAACAAGTTCGCCTACACAATCCGCCAGCCCATCGGTGTCGTCGGCCAGATCATCCCCTGGAACTACCCTCTATCCATGGCTACGTGGAAGCTCGGCCCCGCGCTCGCATGCGGTAACACGGTCGTCCTCAAGTCGGCCGAACAGACGCCTCTCAGTATCTTGGTTCTTGGTAGCCTGATTGCCGAGGCCGGCTTCCCTCCCGGAGTCGTCAACTTCATCAACGGTCTCGGCAAGGACGCGGGATCAGCGCTGGTGAACCACCCTCTCGTTGACAAGATCGCCTTCACCGGCTCCACCGCTACGGCCACCCACATCATGGGCGCAGCGGCCAAGACCCTCAAGAATATCACCCTCGAGACCGGCGGCAAGTCTCCCCTCCTCGTCTTCAACGACACCGACTTCGAGCAGGCCATCAAGTGGTCGCACCTGGGAATCATGTCCAACCAGGGCCAGATCTGCACCGCCACCTCCCGCATCCTCGTCCAGTCAGGCATCTACGACAAGTTCGTCGCCGCCTTCGTCGACGAGGTCAAGAAGACCAGCAAGGTCGGCCACCAGTGGGACGAGGCAACCTACCAGGGACCTCAGGTCTCCAAGCAGCAGTACGACCGGGTCCTGTCCTACCTGGACATTGGCCGATCAGAGGGCAAGGTTGCCGTCGGAGGAAACAAGGCCACCGTTGGCGACGGCTCGGGATACTACATTGAGCCTACTGTCTTTACCGACGTCAAGGATGATGCGAGGATCTGGCGCGAGGAGATCTTCGGTCCCGTTGTTGTAATCCGCCGCTTCGAGGAGGAGGAGGAGGCCATCAAGGTCGCCAACGACACCGTCTACGGCCTGGGTGCGGCAGTCTTCACCAAGGATTTGGAGAGAGCCCACCGAGTGGCCTCGGAGATTCAGTCCGGCATGGTCTGGGTCAACAGTAGCCAGGACTGCGATCCCCGTGTACCGTTCGGCGGTGTGAAGCAGAGTGGCATTGGTCGGGAGCTTGGAGAGGCCGGGTTGGAGGCATACACGCAAGTCAAGGCCGTTCACGTAAACATGGGTAATAAGCTATAGGTTTTTTAGTTGATGAATGAACACAAATGAATAGACAAGATTAGGGAATCATGTCCATCCGGTCTCTCCTGATTTGTGTGAACAACGGCATATGTTGAAAAAGCCCTGTGTTTTATTTGTTCCGAGCCATGAAAACTGCCAGATATATTGTCATTCTCTAAGCCAAAGAGAGATCAATCATATTGAGTGACAACAAAAGTATTAAATAGAGTATATGAGTAGTTGTTTTCAAACAGGAAGAATTTCACATCAAGTGATTTTCCGATCACCTTAAAGCTAGCCCCTTTTCCTTCGTTATATATATTCCTAATCTGAGGTATTCGACTATTACTATTCATATATCCAATTTATATTTAGACTAAGGTAAGGAAATCCTATGCCTCACCATAACACACAATGCGATCCTTACCAATTCGCCATTATTTTTAGACGTACTGTGAAAGGATGCTCTCCGCGCCTATTCAACCAGGGAGTCCATAAAGTAGAACTATCTCTAGACACAGAAAGAAGGAGAAGTTTCTTTAAGAGGACGCGGCTTTCTAGCTGCTTTTATAGGGTTTCTTCTTTACAAGGTTTAAGGGTTTAAAAATCCTTAGGTGACCGGGATCTTTCCTGTGAGACCACGTATCCCTAGCGGAGCTTCCTGTAGGCGCAGCCTGTAACACTTACAAGGTAATGATCCTATTCGACATCACTCGGTTCTCTTTCTTACTCACATATATTCTTGAGCCTCATCGTCGCTGACCACTGCTCTTTATCGGAGGGTTTTGTGTATGTTTAGAAAGCTGGTGTTACGAACTATTGCTTTCGACCGCATGAGTTGCCCGCGACCTACAGTCACGATAGACATTGCAGCCAGTCTAGAATCACACTCTATATAGTCTGCCTAAGTGAGCCTGCCCATCAAAGGATCGCCGTATTGCGTGCACAAAAATGGCGGTGGAAGACACAATGGTCTGAGGGCCCAGTAAAGTCATCAGTTGGTTTCTCAAAGGAGCAAAATCTTGGCTGCCCAAACTATTAGTGCTTATTCGGGCTGAAACACTCAATGACTCAGCAGTAAGATACCCCGCATCTGTGCAGTATTAAACAGGGCAGGCATTTGGAAGAAGTCTACGTATTCACATTCTAGCCTCAAAACTCGCACATTCTAAGTTCAAACTTCAACCGTTTCACTACATCATACCTTCACACCCGGGACAAACAAAGACAAGATGAGGTATCTTGTCACCATACCAAGCCCATTCGCAAGTGTGGGCTTTATAGAAGCAGAATCCGGAGAGCTTTCCAGCATCCAAGCAATACTCGACAAAGAGCCCAGCATTATCTATAACCCGCATTTTGCCGCTGCAAGTAATGAGAGTATGCCAGGTATGGGCTAATCCTATCTACATTATGTTATTCACATACTAATTTTATACTCTCGTAGCTGTGAATCAGGCTTCTCCTTCTACTAGGGCAGAAGAGCAAGATGAGGAGGATTCTGATCGGTAAGCTTTATTATCTTTTTTGTGACGTCTAGGTATCATTCCAACGGAAGGACTTCAGGGTAACATCATTCATAACTGTGACTATGCGAGGCAGATTATTTCACATTGTTACACCAGACCCAGGGGAATACTCCCCAGTTACGCATGCTGAAACAAAAGAGTCCTACTATTTCCTCAAGCTTGGACGCGGACGCGATTACCATGACTATCAACAAGCCAAGAATCAAAATCCTGTGATTTCCATTGTGGTGGGAGACGTCCCACAGGCAGAAAAGAAGGAGGCGGCAAACCCCGGTAAGTTCGCAATTCATATTTCTCTCTCACATACGATGGCCTAAGTCAATATTATTTCTAGATCTGAATGAATGGTACAAAGTTGTACCAAAATCTAAAGATGAACTTAGGAGGGAATATAAGGAATCGGAGGCTCCAGAGGCCTGGACTCACGATAACCTGCGCTCGAATATGTAAGTCGTGAAATAAAAGGCCATCTACTCCATTAGAAATCCGGGTGATTTGACATTAATCCTATTTACAGGATTGCACAGCAGAGAGCTCTTAGAAACAAGGAAAACGAGGAGTATGAGCGGCTGATACAAGAGCTGCTAGGGATGTGCAATATCCGAAAGGAGACCGACATTGATCGTGATCGCAATTAGATAAAGCTTGCTCCTGGAAGTTATAATCTACATGACACCCGTTCCTCCCTGACGGTCTCATTTGCCATGACAGAGCAACACCATGCCTAGAATCTTTAGATTTATAGATGAAGTTTTTCTCTCCGAGCACGCGCACCTACAAGTCAGATGTGACGCTATACAAGATTGCAGATCTCGATGGAAAAGGAAAGATACAAAGTTGTATCAGATATAATGCAAAAGTATTCCATTGTTGAAACTAGGGCTAGCGTAATTTAAATAGGTCCGCTGAGCGAATGGATGGATCAACATGATCCAAAATTGGTCTGGGGGGAGTGGATTCTGTTTGCCGAGAGCATAGGTCAGGTTACGTATCCGTTGCCGCCAGCCATAGTGTTGTGGGTATTAGACTCTGATAGATAATAATTGGTTGCATCAGAGCGTAGGCTGCCATATATTTGTGAGGTGTATTGTAAATAAACTGCCATGGAATTCCGAGGTTATCGATACCTACCCATGTAAATTTTAAGATCAAAGAGATTGCTTTTATAAGTATTAATCTTAGGTACGTAATCCTAGGACTAAACTTCAGAATGGCCCTCCCCTTCCTTTCAGAGGTTCCTTATTCGTATCCCTTGGATTTGAGCTTATGGTAGTTGGTAAGCATGATTATCTATCCCGCGCGGTTAGCTCCACAGGCTTGATGCAGGGTTGTGTTCGGACTTCGCCTCAAACGCATGTCCGAGGTTGTCTATTTCGCGTGTCCATGCATGGTCTATTGGTACCACTGCATCAGAATTATTATGGAGGGATACAACATATTACATGTATTCTAGAGTGAGAATGATGCCCGCGCGGCTCTGGTCCCCTGACAATAGGGTTACAACGCCAAGCCGCAATCAAGAGCTAGTCATGAAATCGAGAGCTGCGCACACTAGACTTTTGCGTAGGATTGCCTTGAAAAGACGATGGGCCATTGCTGATGAGGGAAATTATGTTTATTATCAATTGGTAATCAGACAATAATGAGAGCTGCAGAGCATCATCTGACTCGCATGGCCGAATTTGAATAAGCAAATCTGTATGTTAAGTAATATTGCCGACTAGCATGAGGAAGAGGAACCACGAATTCAAGAGTTATAAGACCGTTGAAAAGTTCACAGAAGGCTGCCAATGATTCCTAGCCTTTTTGACAACCATCACACAGATATACCGTCTTCCATAACCTTGTATAAATATGTCAAACCAAACCGCCGAACAACCTCATGGCAAGCCCATTGAGACAGATGTTCTCATTATTGGAGCCGGCCCAGCTGGTGCCAGTCTGGCATGCTTTCTCGCAAGCTATGGTAACTTTTTCCCTGCGTTTTAGAATGATCGCTGTTCTGACATTACGCACCAGGCGTAAAAGGCATTCTGGTGAGTAGAGACAGCACAAGCGCTGAGACGCCACGTGCGCATATCACGAATATGGCCACATTTGGTGAGTAACTGCCAGCTAGGAGACACATTTCGAGTTTTCTCATCCTTTTTTGGTTAGAATGTTTCCGTGATATCGGGCTAGAGGATATCTTACGGAATATTTCTACCCCTATCGACGAAACTGATCACCTCTTGCGATGGTGTCTATCCATGGCCGGCCGAGAACTAGCTCGCAGGTACACCCTCCAGTCAACACCTCAGAGAACAGTAAGTCCAACTAGAGCATTTTTGAAGCACGCATGTGACTGATGCTTTCTTTCAGGGGGAGTATAAAATTGCCAGCCCTTGTGAGCATATGGACCTGCCACAAACCAGGCTAGAACCCGAGCTCGTTCGTTATGCCACTTTGAATGGATTTCAGGTCCGCTGGGACACCGAGTTCCGAACGATGGAACAGGGAGACTCAAGGGTGACTGTGGACCTTTTCGACAAGGTCACACAGCAAATATTTTCCGTCTCGGCAAAATATGTTTTTGGCGCCGACGGTGCCGGATCTCGGGTCATGAGACACCTCCAGGTGCCAATGGAAGGATTTCCGGCGACTCAATGGGCCGTCAACGTGTTTCTCAAAGCGGATCTTTCTCATTTGATGAAGAGCAGGCCAGCCGTGCTGAGCTGGGTGTTTCAGCCCCATCGTGACCACGCCGATTTCAACATGGTATGCATCGTGCGCAGGGTTAAACAATGGGATGAATGGGTTTTCTCTTTCCTTCCAACTCCGGGTGCCAGAGAAGAAATTCTGTCTAAAGAGCAATATTTGGAAGAAATCCAGCAGGTAATTGGCGACGGTACACCCGTGGATATTACCCATATGAGTCGGTGGCGTATCAATGAGGCATACGCAGCTCATTTCTCGGTTGGTAGAGTGTACGCTTCTCAAACAATCCTAAACCTTCCCTCGAATTATGATGCGATGTTAATTCATCTTCAGATTCTGCCTTGGGGATGCCGTTCACCGCCACCCCCCTGCCATGGGGTTGGGCTCAAACACGAGCGTTCAGGATTCTTACAACCTTGCTTGGAAAGTAGCATATGTCCTGCAAAGTAAGATGATATTTCCTAGGATAAAGATGGCATGGAGATAATTTGCTAAATTTTCACTATAGATAAAGCAAGCCCACGTCTTCTTGATAGCTATTCGCTCGAAAGGCAACCTGTCGCAAAGCACATGGTAACCCAGTGAGCAGCGCTTCCCGTGATTTTACAACTCAAGCTGACTTCGCTATTTCCTTCTAGCACTAATGAAGCACTCCGGCGTCACGTGCCTATCTTCAATATCTTGGGAATAATTTCTCCCTCCGTTGCCGAACGACTCGAAGCTCTTTCGCTACTCAGCGCCAACACCGAGACAGCCGAGCAGCTCCGTACTGAATTCCAAGGTGCCGCAGATGCCTGTGCAGAGACTGAATTGAACGGACTAGGGATTGAGTTCAACCAGGATTACAGCGATAGTCCAGCAATTTGCGCTGACACCAGCGATAGTGCTCCTGGGAAGCCTGCGCTTGAAGAGAACCCAGATCCCCTACGGTTTCACACCCGTACCACCATCCCTGGTTGGAGGCTTCCACATGTATGGTTGAACAAGGCCATCCCTGAGAACGAAATATCTACCATTGACTTGGCGGGCAAGGGCAAATTCGCGCTTTTCACGGGTATCGGAGGTGGTGTTTGGAAAGAGGCAGCATCCAAGCTCTCTGCCGAGTTAAATGTATCGATCCGCACCATTTCAATTGGCTATGGCCAGGAATATGAGGATTTATACGGCGACTGGGCTCGAATTAGAGGAGTAGAGTCGTCAGGTGCGGTACTTGTTCGGCCCGACAACTTCGTCGCTTGGAGACATGGCAAAGCAGAAGGCGACGAAAAATGGGCTACAGAGAAACTAAGCTTGGTGATGCGAAAAGTTCTTGCCCTAGACTAAAGTTAGAGATGATATCTACCTTACTCGTGTAGAATGGTTTAATATCGCCTCGTAGAATTCAATTTTTTTAGGTTCGGATTTGACCCTTTCAAATATTGAAAGAAGCAATTTGGGGGGGGTCGTAGCCTCCTTCCCATGCTGCCTTAAGTGTAGTGTACTTGTCTTCAATTCTACTATGCTACCATACCTTACCTAGGTATGATGACTTATTATTTAAATACGAAATCTCTAACTAAAGTTAGAGATTTTTTTAAAAAAGAAAAAGTTTCAATTCTAAAGGATTACATCCGTAAGCGGAAGTTGATTTAGGAGCTAACCCAGCGAATACCCAAAACTCGAAGCAACAGAATAGAGGGTGTTTCAAGATCATCCTGAAGTATAAAGACGGTATGGTGATTTCATCGTTTACTCGACAAACGAATCAGGGTCATCTCTCCAAGTACACCACACAGCCTTATAGTCAGAGGCACCTCGTGATCTCAGATTAAACTGTCGGCAATGCGGGGCGTAAATTCGGGACATCGTGTTGCGGTATCCATCCCTATCCGCAAGCTCTTCGGCATCTCCTTCATGCAAAAAGCGGGTTGTCTTGAGCACTTCAGGGATGCCTTCGCCCAAATCGTGATAGAACGCATTATGGCTCTGGATGCCCATGTCCAGCCGTACCTTGGTGGCATTGCAGCGCAGTGCTTCGAAGGCGTTCAGGTCATCAGCCTCCTGCATCAGCCAACCACTAAATAGCAAACCAACGTAAGTGAGCCTTTTGAAGTGATGTCCCTGTTCGACAACATTGAGCAACTCAGCCACCTGTTCCAGGATCATGACTCCACATTCGGAGATTTTGAGATACTCCAGACCCTCGGGAAGACAATCAATAATTCGTGCCGCTCCTTCGATCTCCAGTGGCATTGGACAAGCAAAGGTATCATCACTGCGGCTTTCTGGTTGAGACGGAAGCATTGCAGTAAGAGCTTGCATACCCAGCGTAAGCCTTTTCAGCTTATGCATCTGACGAAGTCCTGTTCCCATATACAACCTCTCCGGACAGGCTTTCCAATTCCACTGTTTGTCAAACTCTTCTTCTAAATTGAGATAGAGATGTTGAAGCGTGTCGGCATGAGGCAGAATAGCATCAAGAATATCCCGTGGCATCATAAACTTGACAGGAATGTCCTCGGAATGAATCTGAAAGTGAGAAATTTCAAGTTTCTTGAGGGCTTTGCAGGCACCTAGCATGCTCTTGAGCATTTCTGCTGAAGAATGGCAACTCCGCAGCGTTATCTCCTCAATAGAGGAAGACCTAGACGGTAGAGCTCCAAAGTTATCAGCAGCCGCCTGGTGTCCATATGCCAAAATGCATTCGTATGACCTTATTTGAGGGAATCTGAATATTGATGATCCTTCAACAGAGAAGGTTGTGTAACCGCCCTTCCAGTCGATTGTCTCATGGAAAACATCTTGGACATTCGAGAGTGGAATGACCATCCTGGGAGAAGCAGTCCAGTCAGAGCCAGGGGAGTAGATTGATCCATGGATATCCCAAAGATTGTGGACCAATTGCAATAAACGGATGAAGTGGTATGAAGTTGAGGGTTTCTCGAAGAGTAGTGTTTGGATATTAGGGCAGGTAAGCAACATCAAGGCAGCCTGAGCGTCAGACGAAGTGCCTTTTCTGAGGTCTTCTACCCATCGACAACACCACCGATTGTTAGACTCGGAGGGCAATTGGCCCAAGATAAATCTGATATGTCGCTGATAAACGGAAAGTTCCGATTCCGTGACGTCTTCCGACAGATTTTCGCTGTCTGTGTCCTCTCCATGTTCTGAAATTCGGCCCAAAATTACGGTTTTGACATGCGTAGCAAGCCAGGGCTTGGAAACAAGAATATATCGCAAGAATTGTGCGTTGCGCGCCCGGGAGCATGGCCCTTGACCCCTCGGGTGCCGGACCGTGTTTCGGAAGATGCTCACGGATAAGGGCAGCGCGACCTCGTATAGCTGCTTGCAGGTTCTCAAAACTCCTTGGAGGTTTGAGGTGCCAAACGTTACAGTAAGATTGGAGAAGATTTTCGTTTGGATCTCAGGAGGTAGCGTTAAGAGCGCGGTTGATTTGACCTGTGCCTGTTCCATTGTCCCGCTTTCTTTCATGCAGGATGCATGATGGTCGCTGTTGGTGCAATAGGATCGTTCCGTTGGTTGGGGCACTGGGTGAGTGCCCAGGTGATTTGCTTACGTGTTTGTGTTATCCCTAATAATAGAATCGAACATGGCGAAAGCTCTAGACGTCGATATATTGGTGTAAAAACATTTTCAAGATGAAAATAAAAGGTTTGAAGAAATAAGATTTCCCTTGGATTGTTTGGGGAAGACTGATTGCTCATGGCGAAGGGGTTATAATGTTAAATTGATGGCTTAGTAATATAAGCAAGGCGTGGTGGCAGAGTGGTCTAATGCGCAAGACTAGAAATCTTGTTCCTTCGGGAGCGTCTGTTCGAATCAGGCCCACGTCGACCTTTCCTTTTTGCCTTCTTTGCTGGATCGAGTTATTTTCATGAGGTATGCTAAATACATCATAGAAACCTCGTGTCAAGGAGAATACAATTTGTCTCTGTTTTGTTCGGTTCGCTCTTAAATCCAGCTCAAACTCACAACAAAGAGAAGAAGATCTCGCCCATTCTTAAGACGTGTCTCATATGAGTTCGCAGAGCGAAAATACAACTGCCTTGCGGGCTCTTCCTAACTTGACTTCTGACAATCTTCAGCCTGCCCGCAATCTATTCAAGTTTCTTAAAAACCCTACATTCAATTTGATAGGCTACATGTAAGAAGTCATATACACATTATTGTCCTTCCAAGTGCTCAAAGCAGAGACACTTTATAGCTTGTGTAGCATAATCATATATATTTATATGAAATCTATCTAACTACCTACTATCTTTTCTATCCCAATTTTCCGCGTAGAATATTTCCCTCCAGCCGTATGATGTTCAAGTGTGTTCACCAAAGCCAAGACGGCACACTAAGCCCTCACGATTAAGCCGAAGCGAAACTTAGATGAGGGTGTCCTCGCCGGGGAGGATGGTACCGTTGGAGACGGCAGCAGCATGAGCACGAGCAAGAGTACCCCAGACAGGGTAGTAGGTGTCAAGCCAGGGGATCATCTCCTTGGCACCAGGGACGGAGCGCCAGTCGCGCATGAGGTCACAGACGATGGAGAACAGACTGACAATCTGGACACCAGCACGGGCCATGCGGTCGTTGGAGATGTCACGGACAAGAGCAGAGTTGGTACCGGAGGCTTCGGCGTTGGCCCAGACGGAGTATCCCTCAGCGCGGAGAGAGAGAGCGAGGAAGGTGGTGCAGACGTCGGTGGTGATACCAGCAAGGACGATCTGGGACTTGCCGTAGCTGCGGACAACGTTGCGGAACTCCTCGTTGTCCCAGGCATCAACCTCGCCCTGGCGCTGGACGAGGGGGGCGTTGGGGTACATGTTGATCATTTCCTTCATGAGGGGACCGTTGGGTCCTATAAAGCAGAGATATTAGCAATTAATTATCAATTACAGTTGCGGTGCCTAACTTACCGGTATCGGCAGAGGTGGTCATAACAACAGGCAGGTCAAAGGCCTTGCCAAGGGCGGCGTGGGCAAGAGCCTGCTGCTTGTAGAGGGTGGGATCAAAGTCGCGGGTGAGCTGGTAGAGACCCTCCTGGATATCAACGATAAGCAGGAGAGTGTCATTCTTCACAAGTCTCTCATAGTTGTACTCTGTGTAGACATGGCAATGTCAGCCTTTGAAGGAAAATTAGGGTTGGGTTGGGATGGTCATACTGTCGGCGTGCTGGGCAGCAACAGTGGCAGCAAGGCCGGCGAGAATAGCGTTGAAGAACTTCATCTTGACTGAGGGTGAAGAAGGTGCGGACGCACAAGTAGACAAGTGAGATCGGATCTAGGAGAATGTGTATAGATGAGATCTAGGAGTCTGTTTGAAGATGTCGGCAGTGGTGATCCAAAAACGGCGGAATGTTGCGACCGCGACTGATCTTAAATAGATTTGAAGAAGAGCCCCTTTGTCCTAGCGTAACGGCTTCTCTTAGTCTCTCAAGAAGTTTCTAACCTTACTTCGCAGCTTGATTTTGGTGTTGATTGCCATCTCCATATTTGGTAAGCTACCATGTGGTGCTGACCAAATAATAGTTGATGCCGTCATGAATTACTAAATCCACTCTTTATGGGTACCACTGCAGAGTGTCACCCACCGCAGATAACTCAAGCATGCCGTAGTAGCATTGACCCTCCCAGCCTCCTCGTATTAGATAGGCACTTCAAAAATATACAGCCAGTTTTCAGGTTAGTAACGGACGTTTGGCCAGATGATTCGCCGCGGTCAGCAGATTATGGCCAGGACGGCCACCCCGTGAGATAAACCGGTATCAAATATGCCGTCTCTACTATGGCCATTTTCTCACTGAGCAATTGAAATGGTGTGCGACAACAACGGGGTCCTAGAATCACACTACGCCATCCATTCCAAATCTTAACCGAAGAGATCTACCGAGTCTTGCTGCGGGCAAGGGCAAGGATTTGTTCTCCGTTCAATCTCACAGGGACGCACCACATGCATAGCGACGTGCGGGATAATCAACTTCCACGCACCCGAGCCCATAGCGAGGGCACATGCCGACACCATGTTCGGCTTCTAACCTCCCGCTCCCTCCAACTCCCTGACAAGATGTGTGCTTAGCTCGCGGCGGGCTTGGTGGGAGGAAGCTAAGCTACCTAGGTAGGAGAGCTAGCTACAGCAAAACCTGGGGACGGCGCGATACTCTAGGTTTCGCCCTCTCAGCTTAGTAGGTAATATGGGGTCAATCATAAACATCCGTCATTCACCGCGTTCGTCGTGTTTTCCGCGCCAAGACCGCACGGGTAGCAAATATGGTTCGTACATCGTTGCTGCAGATTTCTAAGGATTAATCAAGCACAGTCGGCTGCCGGCACAAC